CTACTACTTTCCTTGTGTCTTTGGTGTTCTTCATTCTCCTTTACTCCAGGTGGTTGGGACCAATTGATGCATCTTAGATGGGTGCTTGCAAGCTTTTAAGACCCCAGACGCCACTCACCAAAGTAGGATGCAGTACATTTCTTAATAAGCTTTGTTATGCCAGTAGAGCTAGATGTCCCCGGAAAGCATGGTCCTCAGACCCCTACCCCTGCTACTCTGTCCCTCAAAGAGTGTTTGATTGTATTCAGGAAACTTCTTAGCTTTGGTTTAGTCGAGTTGTGCTGACTTCCCCTGTAGTGTGTGCTGTCCTTCCCTTCACCTAAGATAATACTTATGTACTATCTAGTTAGTAAATAACCTTCCCCCTCCCTCCCCACCCTCGTAACCATCAAAGAATGTTTTCTTCTGTGTTTAAACCTTTTCTTGAGTTCTTAGAATAGTGGTCGTACACAATATTTGTCCTTCTGTGACTGACTAAATTCACTCAGCATAATGACCTCCAGCTTCCTCCATGTTATAAGATGTTTCATGGTTTCATCGTTGTTCTTTATCGTTGCGTAGTATTCCATTGTGTGGATATACCATAATTTGTTTATCCATTCGTCCGTTGATGGGCAGCTAGGTTGTTTCCATCTTTTTGCTATTGTGAACAGTGCTGCAGTGAACATGGGTGTGCATATATCTGTTTGTGTGATGGCTCTTATTTCTGTAGGGTATATTCCAAGGAGCACGATAGCTGGATCGTATGGTACTTCTATTTCTAGCTTTTTAAGGAAGTGCCAAATCGATTTTCAGAGGGTTTGTACCATTTTACATTCCCACCAACAGTGTATAAGTGTTCCAGTCTCTCCACAGCCTCTCCAGCATTTATTATTTTGTGTTTTTGGATTAATGCTAGCCTTGTTGGAGTGAGATGATACCGCATTGTAGTTTTGATCTGAGTTTCTCTAATGGCTAATGATCGTGAGCTTTTCTTCATGTGTCTGTTTGCTGCCTGAGTATCTTATTTGGCGAAGTGTCTGTTCATATGCTTTGCCCATTTTTTAATTGGGTTATTTGTCTTTTTGTTGTTAAGGTTTTGCAGTATCTTGTAGATTTTAGAGATTAGACATTAATTGGCATTTGTCGTAGTTAAAAATTTTTTCCCAGTCTGTAGGTTGTCTTTTGACTCTTTTGGTAAAGTCTTTTGATGAGCATACGTGTTTGATTTTTAGGAGCTCCCAGTTATCTAGTCTCTCTTCTGGTGCTTGTGCATTGTTACTTATGGTTTGTGATGTGTTTATGCCATGTATTAGGGCTCCTAGCGTTGTCGCTATTTTTTCTTCCATGATCTTTATCGGTTTTGATTTTATATTTAAGTCTTTGATCCATTTTGAGTTAGTTTCTGTGCGTGGTGTGAGGTATGAGTCTTGTTTCAGTTTTTTTGCAGATGCATATCTGGTTATGCCAACACCATTTGTTAAAGAGACTGTCTTTTTCCCAGTTAACGGACTTTGGGCCTTTTTCTAATATCAGCTGCTCATAGGTGGATGAATTTATGTCTGGATTCTCCTTTCTGTTCCGTTGGTCTGTGTATCTGTTGTTGTACCAGTACCAGGCTGTTTTGACTACCATGGAGGTATAATAGGTTCTAAAATCAGGTAGTGTGAAGCCTCCCACGTGGTTCTTCTTCTTGAGTAATGCTTTACTTATTTGGGGCCTCTTCCCTTTCCTTATGAGGTTGGTGATTTGTTTCTCCATCTCATTAAAAAATGCTGATAGAATTTGGATCGGGATTGCATTGTATCTGTGGATTGCTTTGGGTAGAATTGAGCAAGGTACGTTTTTCTGCTTATGCAGGTCTCTTGTTTTCTTGCAGTTGTGTCTTGTAGTTTTCATTGTATAGGTCTTTTATGTCTCTGGTTAGATTTATTCCTAAGTATTTTACCTTCTTGGGGGCTTGTAAATGGTGTTGATTTGGTGATTTCCTCTTCGAGGTTCTCTTTGTTGGTGTAAAGGAATCCAACTGATTTTTGTATGTTTATCTTGTATCTTGAAACTCTGTTGAAATCTTCTATTAGTTCCAGTAGTTTTCTTGTGGATTCTTTGGGGTTTACTGTGTGTAAGATCATATCATCTGCCAATAGAGGTAGTTTGACTTCTTTTCTGCCAATTTGGATGCCCTTTATTTCTTTTTCTAGCCTAATTGTCTGGTTCTCATTCTCAAGGGGAATGCTTTCAAAGTCTCTCCATTTAGGATGATGTTGGCTGTTGGCTTTGTATGAATGCCCTTAATTATATTGAGGAATTTCCCTTCTATTCCTGTTTTGTTGAGAGTTTTTATCATGAATCAGTGTTGGACTTTGTCAAATGCCTTTTCTGCATTGCTTGATAAGATCATGTGGTTCTTGTCTTTTGTTTTATTAATGTAATGGATTACATTGATTGATTTTCTAATGTTGAACCATTTGTGCATACCTGGTATAAATCCCACTTGATCATGGTGAATTATTTTTTTGATATGTTGCTGAATTGTATTGGCTAGAATTTTGATGAGGATTTTTGCCTCAATATGAGGATTTTTGCCTCAATGTTCATAAGGGGTATTGGTCTGTAATTTCCTTTTTTTTTTTGGTGTCTTTACCTCGTTTTGGTATCAGGGTTATGCTGGGTTCATAGAATGAGTTTGGGAGTATTTCATCCTTTACTATGCTCTGAAATACCTTTGGTAATAGTGTTGTTAACTCTTCTCTGAAAGTTTGGGAGAATTCTGCAGTGAAACTGTCCAGGCCAGGGCTTTTTTCTGTTGGGAGTTTTTAAATTACCTTTTCAGTCTCTTCTTTTGTTACAGGTTTATTTAGTTGTTCTACTTCTGTTTGTGTTAGTTTAGGTAGGTAGTGAGCTTATAGAAATTTGTCCATTTCTTCTAGGTTTTCAAATTTGTTAGGGTACAGTTTTTCATAGTATTCTGTTATAGTTCTTTTAATTTCAGTTGGGTCTGTTGTGATATCACCCATCTCATTTCTTATACGAGTTATCTGCTTCCTCTCCTGGTTTTCTTTTGTCAGTTTGGCCAGTGGTTTATCAGTTTTGTTAATCTTTTCAAAGAACCAGCTTTTGGTCTTGTTAACTCTTTCAATTATTTTTCTATTCTCTATTTCATTTAATTCTGCTCTAATTCTTATTATTTCCTTTCTTCTGGCACCTGAGGGCTTTTTCTGCTGCTCTCTATTTGTTCCAGTTGTAGGGTTAATGTTTTGATTTTGGACCTTTCTTCTTTTTGGATGTGTGCATTTATTGCTATAAACTGACCTCTGAGCGCTGGTTTTGCTGTGTCCCAAAGGTTCTGGTAGGATGTGTTTTCATTCTCGTTTCATTCTATGAATTTCTTTATTCCATCCTTAATTTCTTCTATAACCCAGTAGTTTTTGAGCAAGGTGTTGTTCAGTTTCCGTGTGTTTGATTTTTTTTCCTTGCTTTTTCTATTATTGTACTTTTATGGCTCTATGGTCAGAAAAGATGCTTTGTAATATTTCAGTGCTTTGGATTTTGTTAAGGCTTGCTTTATGGCCTAATATGTGGTGTATTCTGGAGAATGTTCCGTGTGCGTTGGAAAAGAAAGTATACTTGGTTTCTCTTGGGTGGAGTGTTCTGTATAGGTTTATGAGATCAAGTTGGATGATTGTAGCATTTAGCTCTTCTGTGTCTTTGGTGAGCTTCTTTCTGGATGTTCTGTCCTTCACCGAAAGTTGTGTGTTGAAGTCTCCTACTACTATTGTGGAGCTGTCTGTCTCTCTTTTCAGTGCTGTTAGAGTTTGTTTTATGTATTTTGGAGCCCTGTTGTTGGGTGTGTAAATTTTTATTATTGTTATGGCCTCCTGGTGTATTGACCCTTTCATCATTATATAGTATCCTTCCTTACCCTTTGTGGTGGATTTTGCTT